CATTGGGCTTCAGCATTACAATACTCAAACTCCTTCATGTGCTTTATATTCAGTAAAGACCATTGATACAACCTTACTACATTATATCGTTTGTCCATGCTCTCAATAATTATATTGATTTTGATTTCCAGCTTTAGCTATTTAGGGTAAAAGCTATAAAACCGGTACCGGTAGTAGTCGCTGCCTGTGCTGAATCATGCAAGTTTTTTTCTTTTTTCAATTTGCTACTCCATTTGGTTTCAGCAACATACTCTCTGCAGTAAATAAAGTCGTTTTAATTCATTAATAATAATAATAATAATAATAATAATAAATTGCCATTTATATAGCGCATATTGCATGAAACTGCCTCTATGCGCTTAACAAACAACTAAAAAGAATTTAAAACAAAAATGATAATAAATATAATAGTAATATTGTGTGGTGGCAAGCAGTGCACGGTCTATTAAGGTCAACCATCTGCCTCTGCTCTGGCGCCATCCGACCTCTACTTAGCTGGCGCGAACAAAGGAGCAGGTTTCACATTTGCCCTGCCACAGACGAATGGGTGCTCAGAGACAGTACAACCACAAACTGAATAAAAAGCATGACAAAGTGAAAAAAGTAATTTATGATTTAGAAAAAAGATGGTTTAGATTATTCTTAGAGCACCATAACATTTGCATTGGTGGATTCAAGGGGTAGGGGAAGGAGGGTGGCTAGCAGCCCCTCCCCACCTAAATTTTAAAAATTCAACCAATCAATCATCGAACAGGGATTTATTTACCGCCAATATCCACGGCAGAATGCAATTTTCAGTGGAGCTATGACAATTGCATTACTCAAAGTGCACATTAAATATAGAAAACAGAATTATATTTAAATTTAAGTCTAAGAGTGTCTCTTCAGCAGAGGTGCCATAATCTCATCAATTTTCCTACATCCTCCATGTTTATTTGAGTATGACGATACGTATGCATTTTACCATAAAAATATAAAAAGCCTCCCTCTGGAATAGTCGTCTCCCTCGAATAAACAACCCCGTCAAATACTTTTCTCTACGATAAAGGTCCTAGGGCGTTTATTCGAATAAATATTTTATCTTTATTATTTCCATCATAGGTACACGATGAGATTGAGAAGGCTACCGCCGCAGAACGCTCTATACGGACATTAGACAAACTAAAAGTTCCGTATTTTGAAGCAACAATTTGCGAAGTTCAGCGACTGGGTAGTATTGCGGCTACACTAATATCTCACCGCACCAGCTCAGATTTTGTCTTAAATGGATACGATATTCCAGCAAATACGAAGTTTAATGTTAACATAGCATTCGTCCACACGGATCCGAAATACTGGAAAGATCCATTTGAATTCAAACCAGAAAGATTCATGGATGCGGATGAGAAGACCTTTAAAGCAAGGGACGCGTTTATGCCATTTGGTTTAGGTAAATCTGTAAATAATATGTTAACATTCTTTTTAATTAAAATTTCATTCAGATGTGTGTAAGGATTTTACTTCGATAATTAATAGTCGTCATGGTTTTGAGTGATACACGTTGTTTAAACAAAGACTGTTTAAACCTTTCATTTTTTTAGGTCGACGGACCTGTTTGGGTGAGAGCTTAGCTAAAATGGAGATTTACATATTTATGTCAAGCCTTCTACAGAGATTCAAGTTCGAACTGCCAGAATCGAGCCCTCGACCAAGCTTAGAACCGATGAAAGGTCCACGGTATTTTGAAGTCGTAGCTAAACCACGTTAACCTTTGACGCAACCTAACTTAAATTTGCACAGTTGTCGTTGCCTTTTAAGTATAAAAATGTGTTTTCAGTGTGTTGTTCATTTCTATGAAGAAACATGTGGATATTATTTTTCGTATTATTATGAAATTTTTAATGGTTATTGTAAGACAATTTATTCATTATTATTAAATAATAATTTTATATAGCGCCAAAGTATATAGAATGGACCTTTCCGCTAAGCTCCGCCCCTTGGATATTGTTGCTTAGGTCACACAAAGACAGCAGTGTTAAAACATACGCGAACACGTGCGTTTGTGGGACAACACGTGTGTTTGTAAGACGCGCGCGCATTCCTAGCGCTGTTCTGATTAGTCAGTTGTTAAGTTTGATTGACACTCTGGAAAGGTCTATTGCAAGACTCCCGACTGCTCTTTTTGTATGCGCGGTGGAACGTTAAGAAACGCGAGATAGGGGCGCTCTATTAGAATTCGAATAGAGTTCGCTCGAAACTTCCTGGCAGTACTTTTGAAATAGGATTACGTTCAAACGAAACCACGAGAGTGGGACATCTTGCAGTTTCATACTCTTCGCTCGCACGTGCTTCCAGAGTGCGGTAAAAGTGTAAACCTAAATAAGTGTCTTTACCTAATTTAGGCAAATTTAATTAATTAATTCGTTAACAAGTTGACAAGTTAAACTTACCACATGGGCCACCTGGCTGCCATTGGATCTATTCTTTGGATTTGAAACCGTCAGAACCCGTTCAGTACGGTACATTTACACAATGGGCCTTTGCCCATATGGATCTGTTGTTACATTCTACTACGCCCGAGGATATCCCGAGAGTTACTAATAAAAAAGGTAGAGGTAGTTTTAAAAAGAGCCGATATTGAAGTGTTCCGGCTTTTGGAGTGAAAGGTTAGTCTGAATGGTCCGAACATGACCGCCATTATGTATATCTGCGATTAATCCCCAGGATTAATCTAAAAAGGGTAAATGTTCTACTGAATCATGGCATAGACCTAAGTAATTAACAATCAAATAAATCATTGAATAAATTTATTGATTGGTATCCGTATATTTTGTGTTCAATTTCAAATAGATATTCCATCCCCTGTCGTTGTGGAATGTGTGAACATGAAGCTAATAAACGGCGGCAACAGTAGTAGTAGCGTACCACGCCTATACACAATTCAGCAGAATAGAATGACACTGCTAGATGGGTTATTCTCCTACCTTTACCCAGGGGTGGAGCCAGCGGGGAAGGGGAAGGGGACCAGCTCCTCCCCACTCGTTGAGAAGAAACACACAATTCGGCGAAAAAAAATTGTATATGCATTTTCTACATATTAGTTCACTCCAAAATCGATTAGGCCTAAATAAGCCTTTGAAACCCCTACATTGTTTTGTTTTTTTCGCCCACATGGAACACTTTCGAGAGATATTGAGCGACGCCCGACCACGCCCACCTTTTTCGTCGGGAACATCGCCCCCACCCCCCGTCGGAGACATTGGACCCCAGTCGGGCAAATTCTGGCGCCACTACTGATCTACCTAACATGATTACATTAAACCTGTCGGATTAATCTGACTGGGCCAACACCTTTGAATAAACTTATTGTATTTGTTTGATTGTAGGTGTAGTCCCTGTGTCATTTATTCAAAGCAACCAGTGTATGATTATAAGGGAAAATATTTTAAATATTATTAATTTTATGTATTTTAAATTGTATCATACTGGTCAGAACGGCTCTCATTATTTAGCGATATTAAAAAAAAGATTTAATTCAAATTCTGTGTCTTGTCTACTCTACGAATCAAGAATACTGGATTCGTGAAGTAGGCAAAACATAAAAAGACAAGAGGGTAAAAGTTATGGATCGTTCCATAGACCTGAGCCGATTTCTTTACAGATTGTTGTATTAGTGGGCAAGAGATTCGTTTACAAATAGACAACATGGGAAATCATTTTAAAATATGTAAACATTTGGCAATCATAGACCTACTAAACTTTAAGTCCCTTTCGCAAACGTGTTTTATTTTCACAGTAATCATTATTTGCATATTTGCATACTCACACCATAACAGAGAAGAAGTGCTACCATTCCTATATGAAATATAAAACGAAATCACCATGCACAGAACATTATTCAATTTTTGCACATGCAAGTGAAAGAACACAAACGCACATTCATGCTGCTGTTGCAAAATACAGATGACTCTGAGGCAGGAGAGTCTGTTTCGACGACTTGCGGAGCGGAAAAACTACGTCTAGCAACGGAAAATCTGTCTATATCGGGAACATTTGTGTCTGCTGACGGATGCAGCTTAACCTTGGAGATCAATTCTAACTCTTTTTATGACAGGACTGATAGGGCCGACAACGACTAACACAATAATGTGGTTTCTCCTGTACATGGTGTATTACCTGTGGTACAAGAACGAGTAAGTACGGTACACTGAAATACAAAATGAATTCATTTTTTTCTTTTCAACATTTCAACGATAATCAAAAGAATCTATTAATGTGACTTGGAGCACGATTGCCAAATATTGCCATTGTATACTAAAATAGATTGGAATCCTACATTTTTTCACTTCAAAACTAGGTCTAAACTAAATATAATTATAATGCATTTTCACTGCAAACCAAATTTCAAATTATGAAGTACGGCATAAATGAATACATGATGGTTATAATAATCGGGTAAAAAAACATCAAAACAACAGATATGTATGGAAACGGCAGTAGTGTAAGGTCAAAGATAAATACCCGGAATGAATGTCTCTATGTTAATGTAACTACTTCATAGTAGCGAAGTTTTTAAAACTGTCGTCAGCTGACAAATCCATCTTCACTCTCTCTGTGTGATTGACGATGCGACGCCGTCTGCTGATTCGGTGGCAGTTTGTGAGAGGATCGTCATTAAAAACGATCCTGTGAACGGAATCGCGTCTTCTGAGCATTGTGTGCCCGGCTTTAGCCTATAAGGATGAAAACGAACAAGCACTCTAGCCTATACTTGTCAACGAAATTAATTAATTCATAAAACAGTACTTCATGCTTATTGGAGAGTCGTTTTGGCAAAAATGTTGTTGCAATTTTGCTTATTGGCGTTTGTGTTAGTTATTGAAGTTTTGGAATATTGCCGAGTTTTCTTTTTATTACTGTTTTGACCGGCTTTCTGAAATAGGCCAACTTATATGTGCATGTAACGTGACAGTGGTCTTTGTTCGGTATATAACCGTGGATTAAATGACTTCGTTATTTAGAGTGATTTCAATATGCGAATTCTCATTATGCTGTGGGACATGAAGTGAGGCGTGTCGTAACCATGAAGGAGCCTGCTGCCTATAACATGCTTCTATCGTATTTTCCATATTTAAGCAACATACGATTTTACGCTGGCTTCTTGCTTATTGGTACAATCGTATGTATGCTCTACATTCACAAAAAACTGCGACAAAATTTGTCAGTTAACTTGCCACCTGGTCCACCCAGGCTACCTTTGCTGGGTTCTCTTCCTTGGATCAATCGTTCGAACCCATCAGCATCATTTACGCAATGGGCAAACCAATATGGTTCGGTTGTTGCATTCTACATGGGCTCGGAGATAAATGTAATAATCAACGATGCGAAGCTTGCTCGAGAGTTACTAATAAAACACGCGGATGTATTTCAAGAAAGAGCCAATCTTGCCGGGGCCCGGCACACTTTTGGAGTTAAAGGTAGGTCTGAAGTATTTACATTCAATAGTAATGCATAATATTTATATTTATGTGGCTGTTAATATGTATCCACTGAGTAAATGTTTCATTCTCACCAGAGACACTTGTTTACGCAACTGATATACAAATGTTTCATTGTCACTGATCAATTTAGCTAATTTAGTTGCGTAGAGGTACTAATATTCTCATTGTATCAAGTATAGCCATTTAACGAAAAGTTCTTTTTGGGTTTCTGAAGAAAGTGTCTGGTGGGATTGGAATCTCTCGCTATAAAGGCGAGTGCCATACATTCATGTTTGTTTAACTGTTTCTACCTCTTAAAGAAAAATATTACCATAGACGTATGTTTAAACAAGAAGCGGAAACGACAACATCATATAAATAAAATGTAACAAAAGATGAAACAGACCATATCAACCTATTGTACTTTCCTAACAGCAGTTTTGTTTAGAGCCTGTGCTTTATCAATATGTGCTATTTAAATTCCATACACATTTTCATTCCTTTCGTTTATTTTATCGCAAATACAATTATAATAAAGGTAATATTTTACCAACAGGGAGTAAAGATTAGTAAGGAGAATAAGACAACACCATCATCACTAAATGATTTATAAAAATATAACTTGTGAACATGTATAATTTGCAACAAAAAAAAAATACTTGAACTTTAGTATGAAGTATCTTACACAATTAAGTTCAGATTAAAAAATATGAAAGTATGTACCTGTGTCTGATCTAAAATAAAAGGAACTGTTTTTTGGATGTTTGGAACTTAACATTAAGTTTCCTAGTTAGCAAAGAGGTACTGTATAACCATAGTCAAGCAGGCCAATGTTTTCAAACTAAACAATGCCATAACACCAGTTGACTGTATGTATCGCAATTTTTTTGGTCAACCGTCGTCTTTTGTCTTTGGTTTTTGTGTGCTTTTATGTGTCCCTGAGCACAGGATTTCTTTTGGTTTTTTTTTCTGCTTTGGAAATAAAAAAAAATTTGGAAATACAAAAAAAAAATGACATAAAAAAAAATGGCATAAGTGCCATGGATTTTCCACTAACATCGTTGTCAACAACCGAGGTATTTAATACATGACTTGTTAGAATTTTCTCTGCCATCAGACATATGTTTTTATTATATGCCTTGTCACGCACTTTTAAAAAGAGAATTCGCCAATACAAGGCAATAAGCTACTCTAGGTATAGGCTAGAAAAAGAGGGTAAAACAGGATGAGAAACACAAGTTGACAAAAATCAGACCCCAAACAAACAAACTTTAAAGAACCACTTCAGAGTGGACAAGGTGAAGATTTACTCTTCGCCTGAAACTTGTGTTGGCAATCGGAGATTTTAAACAAAGCAATCATAAAATGTAGGCCTATGTTAGACGCGCCATATTCCTAGTATCAATCATTACCACCTCAATGTAATAGAAATCAAAGAGAGCCAAGCGTAGTACGGGAAATTCATTCATTAGATACCGTAGCCTTTATGTATCAGACTAATACCTTTTGTATGGACGGACTCCTAGGTCGTTTTAAAATTAAAATATGTGTAACAATGCTAAACAGCGCTGTTTTAGTTACTTTGTCGTATTTGAGGGAGAGCATAAAACGCATTTTTAGAAATTTGAAGGTATTAGATTAATAACTGAATACACACCTTTTCGCGAATATTATACTTTAATAACTTTGTTTGCTTGATATTGACAACAAAGATGTGCTAGTGCTCTCGGGATCTATGCAGGATCAACTATCATATCTTACACTAAAAATTTATATCATAAATCTAATGTCCCTTAAGGTTATTGACTTACATAAAATACAAACTTACTTTCATGTACCTCTTTAAGAATAAATTATATAATATAAACATATTCCAGTCAAACAACAGTCAAACAATATACTATAATAAAAAAAAAATATAATATTAAATATCAACAAGTGATGCCTTTAACAATTAAAAACATTAAATTATGCAATTTTCACTTTCTTGACTCTTTACTTATTGACCTTTCTCATTATAGGCCTATCTATATAATTATTACCACATCTCAAATCAGACTACCCGTACCTTTATATTTATATTGCTACTTATAATAAGTTAAGTATTTTGTCCTTGCATGATGTACATTTAATCGTTGGAAGTTGCGAGGTAAGTCAAAGATGAGTCACATGCAGATGATGATTATCACTTTTTCTTACGTCCAACTGAGACAGCGCCGTCCAACTGAGGCAGATATAGTGCGTTGTCCAACTCAGGCAGTTTTATAGTTTGTGTCTTTTTATTATTATTTATTTATTATTAAATAGAAGCGAAACGTAGAATAAGATGGACTTGTGAAATTCTTATTATTTGTACTTAATCTCAGTACACATCCTAAATTGAAGATAGTAGTGCAAGATTACGCGACCATTTTAGAAAATTCCACCTCCCCAAACCACACTTACTAAACTGCGATGTTCTGCCCCTACACCAAGTACAACACATAGCTCGTTTTACAATTGACTAACCTCGTAACAAACAGCTGCATCTTGTCTATCCCAACTTTCCACTCCCACCTAAATGCGAAATTCTATTTATGCATGGCACCAAGGATCTTATAGACACAAGAGGCGTTCTCCGCGATTTTACGCGTAACAAATAGAAGCGTCGATTTGACACAGAAAAGTTCAGTTTTGGGAGAGGGCGTTGCCATGGATCTGAGATAGGGTGTTCGCGTTACGCCAAAGTTCGTTACCAAGTACGGTTTGTTCCCATAGAGATATAATAAGAATACTAGAGAGCGATGCTAGAACTGCAATGTATTCGATGTTCGAAATACGCAGAGCTGAATATTTCGCGCGAATACTTACGCTAGCGTTCATTAATCGCCCAGTCTGGACATCTCGCTAGTTACGCCATGGATTAACGTACGCCCGGCGTTAGATACGCCTGGCGTATCTCACAGGTCTGAACGTAGCCTTTGGTACCATCCAAGACATGTATTCGAAACGCTGTTCCTGTGTTTTCACGAACGTGACGTAAACCCGAGAACCAATTCTCGAGTTTCGAACGGCCAAGAGCAGTTTCTATGACAACGTTTTGTATCAATATGGCGTTTACTGACACAGAACAGGCTGCAACGATGTGTAAGTTTTTACTGATATAAACAAAAGGAAAAATAAAACGGTGTTATTTAGCCTTTGCTTTGCCACGAAAATGTTTCAGAAATTTTTTAATTTCTTGCTGTCCGATCGCAGGTTTGTCGCGCAAAATGAGAAATTCTATACACATTAATTACATTTTCACAAATGCATATCTTCCCTATCTGTTTCCCCATCAGCTGCTACCGCCCCCGTAGTAGTATCCTTGGACATTTTCTTACTTGGTAGGAGAACCTGCCTCCTCCGCCATGTTTGTTCTTCATCACACCCACTATCGAGGTAGTGTGAGTTTTGAGAACAAGAACGCGTTCGCGAACGTGTTCTCCGATTGTTCCTCGTTCGCGAACAGCGTTTCGAATACACCCATAGATTCAGCCAATCAAATTTCGCCTAAGCGCCGTCGTTTGCAATTGCGCCCTCAATTTACACAGAAAGTTCAGTACATCTAGTTACTCCATAGTTACCCGTATGTTTGAAACTCGAGCGTTGCGGTGTATGGGTGTAATGTACACGATTTTAATTTTCATTTTTTGGTACTTTATTTTTGAATAGGATGCTTAATAGCCATCTTGGATGGTACACATACATAACTCTGCATTGCTCCGCCATCTTGTCAGCACTCTAGTTGTTTAATAGCTCTATGTTTGTTCCTTATTTTTTAAAAGAGGGCGCATCGTAAAATCGGACGCTTCTAATTGTTACGCGTAAACGTAAAGTCGCGCGGCGTACGCTATGGTCAAAGCAGTCAAAGTTCAAAAGTTTTTAGTTTATAAGATCTTTGATTGGCACACACATCACTCTAGTTTCGTTACCTCTGGGTAAGAGCGCTATATAAATGACTACATTATTGAAAAAAATATTGCAATAAGCGGAAGTTACCAATAATAAAAGTTCATTTTTTTCTAATAGTTTAGAAATTATAATAGGCGTTGTGATTCCGTTGTGAGGCACATATAGTGGCCTACATAATAATGTTATTACAATATTAAACTTTTTTTGCAGATGAAATATGAGAATAAATGTGGGATAACCTGTCTGCAGAATATGAAATTATTACCGTACTATACTTAGATATGTAATGGTATACCTAAAATTGAATAATTTGTTTTCTAAAAATATGTCAATTTAATATCTTGAGTGTCGTTTATAAAATGTCTGACTGTGTAGGATATAATATTAATTGATATTTCTCGAAAAAAACATTCAATAAATACTATAGTATGGCATCCTTGTGTTTTAGGTGGTGTTTTTAACGAAAACGGCCACGATTGGAAAACGCATCGAAGATGGCTAGTCACTGGTCTCCGGCACTTTGGGATGGGCAAGAGAAGTCTTGAGGAACAAATTCGTGTTGAAGCCAGCAAACTATGCACGGAGATTGAGAAAGAACATAGCAACTTCTATCCACTAAAATATATCATGAATGCCGTATCCAACATAATCTGTTCGGTCAGTTTTGGAAAACGATATGAATACGATGATCCGCAATTCCAAGATCTTCTCAAAAACGTGAATGCATTTTTCAACTACTCACATCGTGGCAGAATACAGCAAGCGTTTCCGTTTCTCGTTAAATATTTTGTAAAAAAGAAACAATATGCAGACAGTATTACTCGTTTTGTACACACGCACATGAAGGAACACAAAGACACATTCGATAAAAGTAACATCCGCGACCTTATTGATATGCTGCTGTTGCAAGTTGAAGAGGAATCTGAGGCAGGAGAATCCGGGTCAAGCGACATTGAAAAAAGTATGCCTAGCACGGGAAAGTCGGTCTATATAGCGGGAAAATCTGTGTCTGATGGTGCAGCGTATCTATGGAGAACAATTCTGACGCTTTTTATTGCAGGTACCGATACTACGACTAACACAATAATGTGGTTTCTTCTGTATATGGTTTGTTATCCTGCTGTACAAAGACGTGTAAGTACAAATACGAACGTACTTAGACTAGATAGAAAGAATAATGAAAGGGGATTGTAAGTGTTCTGTGCAACTCATATTTTAGATTATAATTACTACTGTATTTCGGAAATTAAAAAGTCCGCCTGAGATAACTGTTCATGTTTATCAACCAAAACATTTTCCTTAACAGTTAATTTTGACGAATTCAATGAAGAGAGAAGAGAGTAGAAATACTAGTTTTACCACTATAGCAAACACAGAACATTATTACAGTACATTTGCCAACGTTGCGAAATCTGTTAGGCCTATGTAATAAAATAAAATTATGACAATATTGCAGCAACATTTGTAAATATAGTTAGAAATAACGTTACACATACGTATTTGCGGTCCTACCGAAAAACCCGTTTTGAATAACAAATTGCAACATTATTAAATGTAAAATTGTTAGCTAGTCTCCACAATCCAAAACGAGATAGTTTGATTTACAACTCAGCGGAGCAACACCAGCCCTATTTTTGAACAATTAAAACATTTAAATAAATCTATATTTAATTTATACGGTGTATATATAGTCAATATCGCTCTTTAAAATTGGGTTAAGATTTTGCCTCTGTACTTTAATTATCCTCATAGGTCCATGATGAGATTCGGAATGCTACTGCTGGAGAGCGTCCTCTGAAGATATCAGACCGACTACTAGTTCCGTATTTTGAAGCAACAATTTGCGAGGTTCAACGTCTTGGGAGTATTGCGGCTTCTCTATTACCTCATCGCACCACCTCAGATTTCGTCCTAAATGGATACGACATTCCAGCAAATACGGTTTTTAATGTCAACTTAGCATTCGTACACACGGATCCGAAATACTGGAACGATCCCTTCGAATTCAAGCCAGAAAGGTTTTTGGATGCGGATGAAAAAACCTTTAGAAAGAGGGAAGCTTTCATACCATTTGGTTTAGGTAAATGTTTTAGATAGACCTGGTATTATCTTTCTTTGTAATACAAACATACGTGTGTCTGATACTCTAAGCGCACACGCGCGTTATCCCTCCTTACTAGGGCTTCAGACTTTTGTCATGGTGACTGTGTAATTGTTTTTAGAGCTCAAAGGCACTTATGTCTGAATAAATGAAATGGAATGATAAAAATAAAATTGCAAATTATGTTTACACATACAGTATTCACCTTTCGTCACCGCTTTGACCACTTTACACCTATTATCGTTTAAATCTGCTTTTATTTACATTTAGGTCGACGGGCCTGTCTAGGTGAGAGCTTAGCTAAAATGGAGATTTACATATTTATGTCAAGTCTTCTACAGCGATTCAACTTTGAACTGCCAGAATTGAGCCCTCGGCCAAGCTTTGAACCAATCACAGGTATCACGCAGAGCCCTCAATACTTTGAAGTTGTGGCAAAACCACGGAATACTGGGCTTTACACGAAACTATCCATTATCCACAAATGGAGATGACTGGTTCAGATTAAACTGGACACAAGCTTGTCAACATCCATTGTGTGTGCGGTAGAAGTGGACATTATCAGCCAGACGCCTGGTCAGGTTGTCAATCGCTTACGGTTTTCAGATAATTGTTCCTCAACGTTGTGTTTGGGATATTTTTTGATATACAGTAACCTATTCCACAACTTTGACAGTCACTCGCGCATGTAAAGTTTTTTTTTTTTTTTTTGTTTGCTGTGTAATTTAGTAAATTATATAATATTGTAATATATTTTTTTAAATGCTTTTAAATTAAAATTTTACACTTGTATTGTAATGTATTTTAATGACCCCTTTTTACAGTATTTACTATATTCGTCTTTGCTGTTTTTTAATCTTACGCTGATTTTTTAAAATTTTCTTTCTTAATGTAAGGACCAAAAAAGAAATAAAGTTTAATTTTTACCTTTTTGGGGTCATCCTTGATCAATCCGATCAATCATTCTTTATTAGAAACACAATAAAAAGAATGTGACAAAAAACCCAGGTCATGGCTTAATTAGGCACATGCAGGTTGGAAACAACACAGAGACAAGAAAAACATGAACAAAATGCAAAAGAAATCAATTACAAATAAAGACAATTCACCCACTCAGGCGAGTGTCTAGCGTTCAAGATAACATAGCTCCTTTTCAATGCCAGCTCGCTAAATTGCTTTTTACACTCTTTACACAGCTTATTACTTAATTTTAAAATAATCTTTATTCTCGTTTCATTATCTTTAGAAAATACTCCCCTACAACCAACCTCCAGGCAAAACAATGTGCATTCATAACCTTTCTTTGAAATCGTTGACGATAAAATCTTTTTGTCTAAAAAAACGTTTTGTCAATCGCTTTAGGAACATTTTGCTGAGGTGGGAGGAGGTGTGGTATCAAGGTTGTTAACGTCGAGAGCCACCTTCTACCATGGGGATTAACAAAATATGTAGAATTAATTTGTTAATTTTGAAAGATCGAAGCTTTAAACGAAGCGCTCACCCATTTTCTTTCGCGGCGAACAATTCTGTTCCTTGGGTGTATTCGAAACGCTGTTCCTGTGTGTTCACGAACGCGACGTAAACCCGAGAACCAATTCTCGAGTTTCGAACGGCCAAGAGCAGTTTCTATGACAACGTTTTGTATCAATATGGCGTTTACTGACACAGAACGGGCTGCAATGATGTGTAAGTTTTTACTGATATACAAAAGGAAAAATAAAACGGTGTTATGTAGCCTTTGCTTTGCCACGAAAATGTTTCAGAAACTTTTTAATTTCATTTCACTGCTCGACTTGCTGTCCGATCGCAGGTTTGTCGCGCAAAATGAGAAATTCTATACACATTAATTACATTTTCACAAATGCATATCTTCCCTATCAGTTTCCCCATCAGCTGCTATCGCCCCCGTAGTAGTATCCTTGGACATTTTCTTACTTGGTAGGAGAACCTGCCTCCTCCACCATGTTTGTTCTTCATCACACCCACTATCGAGGTAGTGCGAGTTTGGAGAACAAGAACGCGTTCGCGAACGTGTTCCGTGGTATTCGAGACTTCCCAGAACGTGTTCTCCGACTGTTCCTCGTTCGCGAGCAGCGTTTCGAATACACCCACTAAATTTTCCTACTGAAAAACTACCTTTTTAATGATAGACTACTAGAGTGTTCATAATTTAAAAAGTTTATTCATTTACATATATTAATACAAGCAGAATTTACATACTGCAAAGCGAAAAAAGGTACAATTATGATACAAATACCCATGGTTGAAGTTTGGTGTTAGTGTATTGCACAATAATTAAGATGAGTTTGGAATCCATTCATATACGTTTCTTTGACTGACAAAGGAACACGAAACAATGACAAATCCAAACCTTTGCATAATGAACGTAAGTTATCTGTTAACGCAAAATAAAAAAAATTAGAGGTTCCATAGAATTGTAACTACTGTATTTGTTCACCATAGCAAGTGGTAGTGTCTAATTGTCAGTATCCAAGGGGGTACAGTAGAATGTTTTATAAGGAAATATATAATTAAATAACAACATTTTCGATATACACATGTAAATAGGACCAGTAACTATATAAACCTGTAGAAACGGGTGTTCACATGTAGTCATGTCCCAAACATAAAGTTCTTAGCTCTGTCCATACTATCAAATTTTAAGTGACAATGTGCCCATGGGCATGATGGTGTCATCTGATGTCATATTACACCAAAATAGGGGCATATCACACTTATTTGTCACTAATGCATTTATTTACTTTGCTAACATAGGCCTTTGAAACGGTGGCACACACAAGAGTGGTGCGTTCAACTTGATTAAAAAAAACAAAACAGTTTGATTTACTTGTATTTTATTACATGAGGATAATAATAAACATTTTAGTACAATGAATTTCAGCCCAAATGCTATATTGCGATTTAATACTTTACTGTTTAGAAAATTGCATATCTTATACAACTACTTTTCTTAATATATAAATTAATTCTAAAATATTTTTTAAGGTTTATATATTATATTGCACCATGTTCTGAAATTTTAAATAAAAAGGTGGTCTAGCATCAGCAGAAAAAATATTGAGTTCATTGTTCACAATTAAAGTGTCTTTTGAATAAGTCATTTTTTTTCTTTAATTTCTTTCCTTCATTACTTTTTCTTCCTCTTCAATCCTCGCATTACTTGCATTGTTACATAAGATCTGGCGTCTTCTCTTGCCGCTTGTTAGAAGTTGCCTGAACGTATTTTTTGCATTCGCACAAATAGTTCTCTTTTTAGAAATAATCTATAGTGAAGATGATTACAACAAATGTTAATTTCACTGAAGGAAATGAGGGTGCAATTTGATATTTTTTATATTTCCTAGAGAAAATATTGCTTGTGCTCCTGTCAATTGGAATCTATATCAGTTATGGATCAAGAGAAAAATATAATTAGGGCCGACGAGACATGCAAAACACTGAGTGGAACGGGGCGGCGGGCTGAGTGGGTGGTGGTGATTTTTGGAATTCAAATTGAAAATTAGCTTATTCTCCTTTATAGTTTCTTTCTTCTCTTTTGTTTCTTTTTTTGGGGGTGGGGGATGCCTGGACCCTGTAGCTGGACCCCCATTCACCCTTATGTTCTCAGATTGGTGTTCTGGAAAGGTACATTACGAAAGTAGGAGAAATGACAAACCTCATCCAGAGTCTCTAGAATGCAAAGAAGCTTCGGTAGCAAGTGAGAAATTCCCTTCATTTTTTTACTATGTGACACAACCGAGTAAGCAACGAGCACACACATCCACTCTAACAAATGGCAAGTCTGAAAAAAACCACATCATTACGACAATTAAAGTGGGGTTTTTTAGTAAAATATATAGCACCTTCATCGATTCCCACCTGAATCACCTGTAAGGTTTTTTTTTGCAAGTAGCTGGGAATGAGCTGAGCATTCAGTACGATAACACTGGTAAGGCAAAACATCATTCCTACCCTTATTTTGAAATTAAATTATATCATACATACATCTACCACAGTGCACTGTGAATATTGGATAATGTTACTACTGGTTTTACATTTTCTCCAGATATTTTGTGTATATCAATCCTAATTTTCATCACTTATATTCTAAACCTTAAAAACAGATTCATGCAACAAAATAATTTTGAATGCAACATACTTCAGTATAAAACTCAGCAACTTCCTCTGCCATGGCAACCGCCTCTGTGTGGATCTGCCTCTGCTCCTCAGTGCTACCACAACTGCAGATTCTCTTCTTGGTTGGTAACAGGTCATATTTAATAGAATTCTTTCTATAAGAGTTTTTCTTGATTGTCTTAACATGCTGTGGCCATAAAAAAAAATGTTATCAATTAGACAATGTGACTTGAGTCTGGCCTAGTACCATTCTAAACCTAATTATTATTATACAATCATAATATGATAATATGTTTTTTTATATTATAAAAAATACATGTTTTGATATTTTGCTAATTTTGTCTGGTTTTTGTTGCTATATGAACTAAAGTTTTGCATCCATAAGGCAAATAATCTTTAGTTGCATAACAATATGTTTAAAAGTTGTATCCACAAAGCAAATGAAGTTCAGTTGAGGTGGGGGCTTGGTGTCTGAAGACTAAACGTGATGTTTGGAAGGGAGATCGGGTGGAACGCATTGACACTACAGTTATTTTTTCCATATGTTCTTCCCATCTAAACCTTAATATACTGTAGTTCCTTGGGTATAAGCAAAGATAATAAATAGCAGAAGATAGAGCAGCTTCTCAATATAGTGGAACATCCGTTTGAAAGGCATTGTGGGTACACAGAGAGCAATTTTACCCCGTCCGCACGGTGGCGCTACATAGCAATAATAAAGGCGCCGCTCTGGTTCATTTGTTTCCTGTAGTTTCTCCACTTAGTAAAATAGTCAAATTTTACCCCATTCGTGGGAGGGCGGGTGTTCCATCAATTTTAATACAAATATGCGGGGCAGCCCATTCTTCTGCTATATAAGTTCTTTGGTATAAGTCCATCTCAGGTATAAGCCCACCCCCTAATTTATGCCCAATTTTTACGTACAAGCATTTCCTAGGGCAAAAGCCCAGAATAATATGACTTTAAATGTGTAGCTTAGTTGTTTTTCACAAAAACTACTCTCAGATTGACTTTAAAGTAGGCATACAGTTGCTGAAAAATTTCCTTTTGATTGAAAATTAGATTAGAAATTAGAAGTCCACTTCCACAAATCGGCCCAACTGTGTATTAAATATGGTCGGCTTACAAATCAAAATGCAATTACCGTTTTTATAAGCAAATCAATGATACCTCTCTTCATCTTGGTGATGGCAGATTTGGAGCCCAGTTTCTTGAATTCAAAGGCTTTTATAAGAAACTCATCTTTAGCTACACCTATCATTACAGGATAAATTTCAACAGTCTACGATTGAGAATGAGAAAAAAAAAACAACACTTCTAAAAATGGTTTCTGTAGAAATTACAGTCTTTACTACATTACAACATACCATAATATAATTTAGCATGCAAATTTGACATTCAAAACATGCCATGACTAACTCTAACATAATTGCTACATAACACTACAGTACATTGAACAGTGCAATGATTAAATTGCAATGCAAATAAAAAAACACTTCTGAGATGTCCAGCCAAAAATATTCTTCTCATTGCATGATCTCTAATAGGGCAAGTAACAACTGTACAGACTCTCATAGTCAATAATGAATAAAAAGTTAAATACAGTCCACACAATATACAGTTTTGCTTTAAGGGCGAGAAATATTCCAGACATAATATCCCTGATGATATATGATGCTATAATCATGTCATCGATGGATGGATTGATTCATTCGGTGTAAACACACCAAGTCTGAAGAAGACTTATTTCCGTGGGGTCTTTCTGGTGGTGATTGGGCAGTACACTGGGAGACAATCCCCTACTCTTTACCGAATAGTGTACTGCGTTCTTTAACGTGCGCACAGGCCATAATGCACAAGGGACCAACATCTCATCAGAAAGACGGTGCACTATCGTAACTTGCATTTCAGCCCTCTAGCTGAAACACAAGGAGAGTAGGGATGGGAATAAAACCGGGGACCTAGAGATCTCCACGGTTAAGCGCACACATAGTGGCTACTACTAGTTTAGCCAACTGAACCCTTGATGTTAGTGAAGGCTGTAAATGGAGCAATGCTGCCAAAATTAGTCATGTTGTATGCAATGTCAGTTTGACATATTCAAGGAAATGTGTACGAATTAATATCTTGACAAAATTTACACAGATAACAGGTAAATATTACACAATATGACTTACTTCAAAACTTATTTTTTTGTTATAACACTCTGGCGAAAAATAATGAGGTTCCAAACAAACCCAGCAAAATATCTTTCCACAGATGCATTCCATATTGGGACAACCACCATTCTTTTCGAAATGGCGGTGACAGTGTGGGCATCTCTTCACTTGTACTGATGAAATATACTTGTAGTCCTCTAGAAAAAAAATAGAAAACACATTACTATAGTTTGTGCAGCGTAACATCAGTGAATTTGGATAATTTATGTATTCTAGCCCATATGTTAAATTTTGATTTTGTTTTACAAAATGTGGCATTTTCGTCATTTAGTACTGTGTGCACATTTATATGTACAGTTTTTAACAATATAATGATGTATAATCATTTAATTAAAACTTTAAATTTTGACACTGATATAAAAATTAGTTACAACCATGTTTGGAGAATTCAAGTCTCTATTAGTAATGATTAAGTATTTGAATGAGTACTTAAAAAGCTGAATAAAAATCAACAGTTTCGATAACTGTTTGAAACTGTTAACATCTAGCATGGATTTAATTCAAATGTCAAATATAATGATTTAGTTTACCTCTCTTCCTAATGACGTTTTTGTACTCCTCAGCTTGTTGACATGATGCTGGCCAATGGACATCTTCCTTACATCTAACACACCATGCCTTCCCACAATCACATGGTACAAAACCGTGACTGTCCTTGCATTGACGCACCTTACCTACATGACGACAGCCTGGTTCTGGACACCAATGCCAACTAGGATCGTTATCCACAATTCTGTTCTGCTTGTGATTAAAGTGGTTTTGAAACTGACTATTTGATGTTAATGACATTAATGTCGGTGTATCCACTTTGCTATCACATCGGTATTCCTGATTTAAAAATAAAATGTTTCTGTACTATATTTATTTAGAAACAAAATCTAAACTCTTGTTAATTTTAGGTAAATTAGTTAACTTAAAGATAAGTTTGTTGAGGATGGTGGTGGAAGTTTGTTTTCTTATTTAGCAAAATTATTGTTATTACTGACTACAGTATTCAAAATGTTTACTTACGGGACAAAGAATGGAGCAATCACCTCGCCCAATCCTGGTGTGAATGTGATGCCTCCAGCAATAATCACAAAACCAATGTTGGCAAGAGCCTAATGCTGTACCAGAACATCCACCAATAGAGGGCAGCAGTTCTTCAAAGCAGATACCACAAGATTTTTGCTGAACAATTTTTGAATTTAAGATCTAAGACAGAAAAAAAAAAAAATAAAAAATTATATATATATAAGTTTTTTGTCAACATTATGCACCATCAGCATGTTTAAATTTTTAATTAGACTAGATGGATTAATGTGTGCTAACTTGAGATATGTTATTAAAACATGTACCTCTGTGGTTTCATTGGTAGTGATCATCTGCAGCAGCAGAGCATGTGGTGTCGTTACTTCAGACACCTGTTTCAAGTGCTGTTGAAGTGATTTGAATGCCAGGTGAGACGAGGCACCTTTTGAAGTCTTTACATCTACGTAAAAGCTGCAGATACATTGAATCAAATTAATAGAATTCAGAAATAAATAAGGTATATTCAGAAAAATGAACAAGGTCTGCAAGGTCAAGGCACAATGATCAATTCTAGAGATACCAGGACTGATGAAAGTGCAAACACTATCATCATACTAGACATGACTTGACTCCAAGCAAAAATTGCTTTTGAGTCTAAAATTAAATACCTATATTGTCAATAGTGTACTTAGTAAGGGCAGACATGAATTGATGGTGTTCTGAGATATTTCCGAGTGGTCTCGAATTGGAGAGTGAACTGTACTTTCTACAAGATTTGCCATTACTGTAATGTAATATGATTGGGGCATACTTGGCCATTTTCTCAAGTGATGTACTTACTAGTTTGCAGGCAACTGGTCCAGAATAGTCTTAATTTTTGAGATGACATCTGTGACAGAAAAGGTTTTGCTGTTGCTTAGAGCATTCGTAAGTTCATGCTTGTATTTAGAAATGAACTGTAAACCAAATATGCAAACCCTGTGTCAGAATAAAAATAATTTTTAGTTAAAGGGTTCAAAACAAAAACAATGTAACATTCTACTCATTCTCATCCTTTTTACCACCATGAACCTGATCTTCAGCATCATCCTAATCATAATCATCATCATCCTAATCGTGATCATCAATCATCATCATTCTTTAAAACCGGGCACTCACTGTGAGCACAAGACAAGGAGAGGCCATCTGCTGATTGTCGGTGGCATTCTGATTGGATCATCATTAAAAACGATCGTTTGTACGCGCACATCGTGGCGTTTCATTCTACGTAGAATTGTGTCCGCCGACGGCTGTCGGGCAGGGTAAGTGCCCGGCTTATAATTACTGAGCATATTAAAATGCTTACAGTTGAATCATTAATCTAATATACAGTTAAACAGTTACCGTATGGCTTGAAGGCCTACCTAAAATTGTCAACTTCTTCAAGCAATACACCATTCTTCTCTCTCCAAGCATCATTTACAAGAGACTCTGACAGATCTTTTTGAACTTTTGTGAAATTCACAACGATTCTTCGACCCATTTTTCCCAGATTCGTGGCACCTTTACTCATTCCTTGTTTATGTAGATTATCACAAACGTGAGATGTCAAATCGATTACAAACCTTCTAGGCAGACTAGCACCCTCTATATAATCCCTTTTAAAAATTGTTTCCAAACATTTGGGCATTACGGAAGACTTTGTAATAAGAACAGATGTACTTGGTGGCATTTTTGGAAGACTATCTGGTGATACTGCCATTGTGTTAGCTAATGAGGATATGATGGTTGTAGTTGGCACATCTGGTGAAGGTATTGTGATTTTACGGTCTTTTCCTGAAATCTTTATCTCATCGCATGTAGTACACATCTTCCTTTTCTTCTGTGATTTATTTTTCTTTTGTGATCTGGTTGGTGTGTCTGAGAATTTCAGATGGTCTTTGAGGCTTAACAATGGTGGCGGCCCAATTGAGAACTCCGGATCGTAGACATAAACCATGCTTTCTTCATCACCTATATTACCATCATCTGAATCAAAGTGATCTGAATAGAAATCATCATCATCTTCCTCAAATTCAAACAGATACTTGTTACAGCGTTGCTTCTTTGTTGATTTTCCTTTCGAAGAACCTAAACAGTTATATAATACAAATTCAGATTTATATTTTTTAATGTCAAATGAGGTAAATTAAATAGAAATGAGTAAATTAACTCCCCTCCCCCAGACTAAACCCATGCAGTGAAGGTACTTTGCCATACCAAGGTTATAGATCAACTGTTTAATACTTAATTTAAAATAATAGTACAAAGTTACTGTAATTATTACAATAATCATTTATTAATTTATATTACAGTATTATTGAATATACCATTTATTATTGTCATTACTATTATTAGCCATTTGTGAGAATATTTGTCAAAAATAATGCCAGTCTTGCGTTTGAAATTGATACAAGAGAAAATTATGTGTAAATATTTTTTAAAATGTCTTGAAACTGGAGAAGAGTGATAATCAAATTATTTGTTCCACTCGTCTGGGAAATATTTTGTAACATTGTATATACCTTGTAAATTGTAACATTTTTATTCATAGATGCAAAACAATCTTAAATAAATGCTGTTCAAAATTATATTCCTTATCCACTACTCACCTTCGGTGTAACCGTACAAATGTCTAGATGTAAAATATGGATATTGTTCTCGAGGACGCGCGTAAGTGACTTCGTATTTTATACATGGAGTAGGAGTTTTTAGCTCAATGTCTTCAGATTTTTTTCTACGTTTCTTACGATTCCCACTATTTCTATTAGCATTTGATACTTTGGCGTTTTGTTCCACATTGATTAAATCGTCTGGATGTGCGTACTTATCTCTGGGCTGCTTACAATGCACTTCCCCCTTGCTTTTGTGTATTCCAATGCATTCTGATAGATTGGTTACTGGTCTGCCCATGCTGTATTCAACTAAAACCACTTCAAACTCATTTGTTTCATGCAGAGGGTCAAACAAGATGTTATCTTTCAGTAAGTTCGGCAACTCCCATCGTTTGCATTTGTTTAGTGAATAAAAGGGATGATAATCTGCGAGACCAAACAAAGCTACTTTACAGAATTAAAAAAATTAAAAACAAACAAAAGAAAAAACCACTAGATTTAAGCCAAAAATAGCTAATATTATGATTGATTACATAAGACTTACCAAGGTTTGGTGGTTCATTTAGATGTAGGTTTTGAAAAATGCATAGGACGGATAACCCTGGCATGGGGTCCACACCCACAAAGCCCCACTGGAGCAATTTTCATATAGTGCTCAGAGTGTTAAAATGCTTTTTTCTTTCAAAACAGATGTTCATCAAAGAAATTGTTAGCCCTTCTCCATCAGGGGGCCCCCATTGGTGTCACACCACATCAAGGAGAATATAACCTTTGAGGATACTGTTGTAAAATTTTACTCAATTTAGCCACTGTATACAATGTAAATTAAAAATTGTTGAATAAATCCTCAAATGAATGAACTTTTAGTGTTTGCTAAAATCTGATAAAAATGAACTAATTCTAAGGGAAAGATTTTAATTTACTTGATCAAAAATATTATTTTCCTCTTTACAAGAGAAAATGAATTAGAATGTATAGGCCTACTTCCACCAGGTCACATGGAACCAACTCCCTGCTTTAACACAATTTACTCTTTTTAAAGATTATTCTGAGTTTAAATACCTACCATATGATGACACAAATCCTACTTCAAGCCCTCCATCGTCAAATTGCCTCTTGAATTCTGCTAATACTTCTTTTTTCTTTTCAAAGAACTTGTTTCTGTGGGCTCCTTGGACGTTATACTCAACTTTTTTCTGTATTACACAAACCTCTTGCAGCAACATTTGATCCCGCCAAATTGTTCTTCGCACAGTTGCTCCCGTTTTGCGACCAAATCGACCTCGTTTTTGTCCCATAGTACTATTTGTATCTTGGTGCTGTAAGTACCCTAGTAAATAAACCACAATCAATTTCAGTAGTATAAGCATGGTCTAAAAAAGAAAAAAAAATTGTGGTGCCCAAGACCTGACCAAAATCGACAGTTGGGCTTTTATTTTTCATTTTTTGTTTTGAGATGGGTGGTGTGGGGGGGGGGGGCAGTCGGACTGAGCCCCGTAATTTTTCGATAAAAAGACTATAAATAGGCCAGTCCTAAAACAGTAAGGGCCAGGCAAAGGGCCTGGCCCTAGTACAACTAAGTAATTAGTGTAGCAGGTAGGGCAAGTTCTAGTAGCTCTACTACTCTCTAGAGTAGCTAGGCCAGGGCTAGGCCTAGTAGTATAGGATAATAAAGTGTTAATTTGACGAAAGTTGAGCATGCCTAGCAGACACTACTTACAGTTATCGAGGACCTCCAGGTCTTCCTCTTGTGCTTATTAACTGAATATGTTTTTGAATACATATCGAACCCGTTCGTTCGATGTTTTATATGTCTTGAACAGTTGTGCAATACACGGCAATCCCAAACAACAACAATGAACCATCGATGTGTTTTCATTCTATTTATAGAAAGTTCGTCATCGATTTGGTCATGCATGACGAGCTTCACAACGCGGCCGTCCATCAACCAGAGTGACGGTGCGTTGGGAGGGCAAGATGTGAAAAGGGTTTTTGTCAGATAAAATTACCCCTCCCTCCCCAGTCGGACAGGCTTGGATTCCTGCCGTCCGACTCTACGACGCGGTCGTCGGACTAAAAAAAATAATAATATTTGTCTATCCGTTTATTATTTCGATTGTCAATTATGAAAATAGTGTGTCTAAAGCACAATTTTTGGCCACTGAAAAAGCTATAAAAACTCCGACCCTCACTCATGAACACCACCAGGGATTTTAATCCGGGACCCTTAGTAGAGGCTGCCCCTTGGTTCAGACCCGTCAGACTTAACGGTCGACCTTCTCGGCAATTTCGGGAGCATTGCCACACACCAACCCAGAAAAAACGTCCAAAACTTACGAATTATTACATCATAATATTGCGACATTACTACTATTCAATTTGGGTGCCTTGTCCCGCTGAACCCCATAAAATAATTGATGTCAAATAGGCCCTATGAATAAATTAAATAATCTGGTATACACGGACCTATATAAAAGAGAATGTGTTTTGGGGTTCTCCCCTCCCCCCGGAATTGTTGGGGTCCAAATGGATTCTCCTACGTTTTGAAGGAGGTAGCCATATCAATCCTTTTATATAAATGAATTCACAATTTGGTTACAGAATTTTTGGCAGATACCATGAGCAGTGGCGGATCTATTATTGAAGTCGTATAGCTGTCTCTTATACACATCTAGATGTGTATAACACCACAGTGGACATCGAGTTGCGTGGGTGGGTTTGTGAGGGGGGTTTCCCTCTTTTTTTTTGAAAAATTTAAGTGTTTTCGCTCCAGTATTATCTCTCCAAAATTTATCGTTTACTGAACTGTTATGACCATTCGTAGGGACACGAGTAGACCTGTTGCGATTTTCCAAAGCAAAGATGCATTAGGCCTAAATACAATATGTAATCAATTTCTAAAACATATTTCTATTTTTGCATTTAGACAGGCTAACATGAAGTATCAAACAGAAAAGGAAATATCCACTTTCATATAAATGATCAGAAATTATTGAAATTAGGCTATAAAGACTATCCGGTATGTATTGTGTTGAACAAAAATCAAATTGCATCTACATTATTATGAAAACTACATACCGGTAGTGAACGTACGCTGATGATAAAACCAAATTTGGAAATGACTTACTAACTTTAACAGTCTATCTAAATTCATATAATTAAAGATAACCATAGCATAATAATGATTTCTGAGAAAATGGATTAACATATACCGTAATAATTCCCACTTTTTTTCTTTTTCCGACATCCCGTACATTGTGTCTGTCTGTGGGTGCCTCGCTTCCCCTTTCCACTCGTTGTTTTTGTCAAGAATTATTTTGTACTTACTGTATGTTCGTCTCTTTGGTGTCCCATCATTTTATGAGTATATCAGAAAATCAAAGTATATGGATTTATGTGCCGACACTATCGGAAAACACTGATGAAGTCTACTGTTAATCATCTTATTGAAAATTCAATAATGCTACTAAATGGAATTATTAATTACATTAAGATGACTATTATTGAAACTATTGAAATAGACATGCCTATTTTATTTTTGTTTTGTTGCATCTGCTAATTTATGTAAGACTGAGACAAATGCCTCAGTGTATACATATATATTTTTTTCTCTATTTCAATCTCATTTGCTTCGTATTTGTTTTGATATGGACATTGTCTAAAATAAAGAGAAATTAAGTGATTGATTGGTAGCCAAAAACCCCGAAATTTACCATGTAAAGCGTAGGATTGGTCCAAGTCAATCGGGACTTTTTTTCATTTAAGGACGGCGGTGCGCCGGGTGCTAGCCACCCTATTCGTCCGCCCACCACCGTACCCCAATCCCCAAATCCGCTACTGCAGGTTGAGAGGAATGGTGGTGGGTGGGCAACTCTCATTTTCAACTCTTGGATCCACTAAATAATTTTCAAGAATTTTTCAATCATACAGATTTCTTTGGCATTGCCATGCAAACCCGTCGGTCTATCCTGATTGAATCCACTATGCCAATCAGTCAAAATGTATGCTTTATGCTCAAGAACTACCGCACAGTACCTCCCACCCCCATTACCAACATGTTTTTATTTAAGAGAAAAGGCTTGAAAACTTTGATAATGAGCGGCCCCAGGATAATATGTGCTGAGAGTCAAAGGGGACGATCCTTGGTTGAAAGTGGTGGGGGCGACGAAATGAAAAATAAAGTCTCCAGACCTCTGACAATGGCGGAAGGCTATACAAATGCTTTGCATTTTTGCGGGCATAATAATTCATAGACAGGATTGTTCATTCATATTGAAATTAGTGTTTTGATGGTGATTTTTTTTCATCCAGTGGGAGTTCATATATTTTATATGAGAAGAATCTGTGAATATCCAGCTTTCCGTTTACTGGGGGTGGGAGGTGGGGGGAATGAACAACAAGATATATTTGATTGGTGAACAGCAGAATTGGAAATTTAAAGCCAACAAAGTCGCAGAGGTAAAATGCAGCCTCTACGCGGTGGGCGGTCAGCATAGCACCAATCGAAAAGTGAAAAACGACGGTGACTTTTTCAAGCAATACAATTGAAACAAATACTAAAGCAATCAGAAAAGGATTACCTTCCAAATACAGAAGGCAACACAAAAATCCGACAAGTATTTGCTGAGATACGACTGTGGAAAGACAAAAAATGACCTAAAAACAGCTAATGTCAGCATGAAACACTTTTGCTAGCTGTTCTCGCTCTTAAAGGAAAATGTTGCAAGAAGAACCATGTTTTTCCGTTATTTCGTATTAAAGGTCGAGGTGTTTTTACTTTATTTTACAATAGACTGATATTATTTCCACTCACAATAGTGTAGTGTACTAAAACAAAAGTGTGAAATTCAAAAAGGGAAGAAAAGCAAAAATCTCTTGATTGATTTTAAAAGTAGTGTACATGCAAAAAGACTAAATTAGTCACTGTTTTAAGTTTATCTTATTTGTTTTTCATGGTTCGAATTTTGAATACGTCACAAGCTAATCAGTAGTTAATAAATCATTATTTTTATGAATGTTAGTTTGCACGAAATACATAAGCGGGCATAAGTATGACTAAAACGATAATTTTAAAATATTTTTATGATGAATATTTCAGTGGCAGATTTAAGTGGCCAAGCCGGCCCACCATCCCTAATTTTTTTTTTCCGAAATTTAAAAGTGGAGAAAAATGAAAATTATATACAAATTTAGTCTGAGAGCGCCATTCTCACACGAACCATTTTTTCCCCTTTAAGGTAGTTTAGTTGATGGTGGATAATGAATGTATTGTACTCGTTGATGACGTCGCGAAATAACAACAAACAACAACGTGTCATATCCGAGCCTAGGCCGTCATGGAAGCTGGCTCCTGTGTAACTCATGTTTCAAAGATAAGCTGGAAGAAAGTTTTAGACAGTGCCAATCAATGGAAACTGAGGATTTTAATACTAATGAATGGAAGTCAGCGAAGTCCTTGGCTTGCTTAACCGTTTTTCTTCGATCGTCGCTTTCAACCGTCTAGGCGCGTCTAGCCTAAAGAGGGCCTCATAACAGGTCGAGATCAATGAAAAGTCGTATAGTCATCTTTATATTTGCACAAGTAATTAAATTGTTTATTGAGCAGATTAATCACACTGATAAACAATTGTACTACATTCGGCTGATGCAGGAACCAATCTGGGTAATCATTCCTTCTCAGGGCTTTCTTGATTTGTTTGACCTCTGATGTTTTGTCCTGGTCATCACTTACGATGCTATTGGCTCTATTAAGTAAAGTCCGTACCACACCCCGTTTGTGTTCCAATGGATATGTATATCCTTACGATACACTTCGACTACAATGTTTTGAACATGCTTCCATATGACTGTCCGTGTCTGTGTATACCTCTCACTCCCGCGCACCAGACGAGATGCTGTTTTCCACATGCGAATTTATTCGCGCGAGTCGAACGCGTCCGTTCATGCGCAGTCAATAAGAGCTCAGGAACCTAACCAACGCCTTCGATTCGCGCGAATAAATTCGCCTAGTGGAAAACAGGCTTTAGACTGAACGTGTCGTAGCACAGCTCGTAGTAAGCAAAAATCGCAACGTGTGAGACCAGCTTAAACAGCAATAATTGTGTGATCCGATGATTTTCTTGGTTTTCAAACGCTTTTTGGAGAAAATCTTGGCGACATATGTTCTTGTTTCCGTTATTAATACTAGCTATTATCATTTTCTACCATTACTACACTAGTTAATCTCAATCGTGTTAAATTACATGTATAATGTTTGTCGCCTCTGGGCGAAAATGATTTTAGCGCGAAGATTGCAATTCGCAGTGCTATATAGGAGCAAATGCGCAACATAAACTCATTGAAAGCCACTGAAATAACAAATACGCGAAAATGAAAACTACAATAAAAAACATAGATAAACTCACGAAATGATTATGAATAAATCATCCATTTGTCAGGAATTCAAATATATTAAATGATAATAACATTCTTTAACCCATAGATACTATTGCATTGATAGTTGTAATGACTGTAAGGTGCTAGCTATTTGAAAACCCGTGTAATTCCTCAGTCCTGCAGATTAAAACGACACCTCTTTAATTATTTTGAATGAATAAAACGGCAAAGACTTGATGAAAAACAAAAAAATATATATTTAAACAATAGAAAATAAAATTTTGAAAAAAGGAATGTGTTTTAAAAAAGATAGGGGCCTAGGCCTAATTAAAATAAACAGCGCCACTAATTCAAGGCAACATTGATATTTATTTATAAATTATTTGATTATTACTCATTAAAGAAAAAAAAATAGGCCTATACGATACAAGTTAGAGGAGTTGTTTTCATCATCATGAGTATATAATGGAAGAGATATCGGTAAACGA